GCAATCTCTAGACTAGAGAGAGGACCCAGCTCATCTACACTTATTCAATTTATAGAAGAAACATCATTTTGAGACTAAGTAATGGTAGAGATCTTAAAAATTTTAATAATTTTTATCAAATATCTCACATAGGTATGGAACCCACATAATGTGGGTCCCATGTGAAACATTTGGCAAAATTTTTAGAATCTCTAACATTTTTGTTTAAAAATTTTAGAAATATTAAATTCACAGACAAAACAGTTAAAAAAAATAAAATGTCATATTTAAATTATAATTATTTTATTTTTTATTTCACAACTATCAAATTAACTACAAAAATAAATAAATAATTATCATTTTAAATACCATTTGTTTAATCAAATTAAAATAATTAAAAAAATTAACTAAAATAACTAAATTTCTACATGAGACCTAAATATGATTTTAATGTTTTCCTTTTAAACATGTCAAAAAATGGACCAAACTGTGCCTAACTCTTTAGAGGATTGTTTAATCCTTATTTTCTATATATTCAAACTTTACGGTGGTTACATTTATGGCTCATTAGAGAAAATATTTTACGCACCTAGTACACGAAGTGGTGTGTTTTCATTCATTAGATTTAAATATATAGTAGATTTTTACAAAATATAATATATGTATCTTATTTTATGATATATATATATATATATATCTTGTTAGGTGAGATTTGACTATAACAAAAGTCTCATTTTTTCATTGCAAGACAAATGATAACCCAATTTGATAGACTTTTTTTTAAATTAAAAGTTGATAATAAGAAAACAGAAATTAAAAACACCCTTAGGCCTTGTTTGGGAAGTGACCGGTTTAGCCAAAAAATTAAAAGTTACTAAAAAAATTAAAAAGTCAATAACCCATACAAAAAAGTCAAATATTCTATTTTCTCTCTACTTTTTGCACATCTTTTCATAAAAAGTCAAAAAGTCATCCAAAACATAACATGTTTCCAAACGAGCTCCAACTTCTAAATAATTAATTTTTTTAACTTATTTAAACTATTTATGCCTAATAAACTATAAGCAGAAACTACACTAAACAATCTAGCACAGACTCCCAAATTGAAATAAGCTATAATCACCTCTCAAAAATTGTAACAAATAGCCCCAACATGATGTAGCCATTGCATAAAAATATTTTTTGAACCAAGTCAAATCCAATTTTACACTCAAAACCTACAATAAAGACTATTTAACAAACCCTCCCCCCTCTCTTGTCTATGGTTTTTAACAATTAGAGAGTCTTCCAAAAAGGGCATTACAATGAGGCCCTTTTCACCATTGTTGTTCTTTTTTCTCTTGTTTTTGGCAGGAGAAACATGTTCATGTTCTCTCCAACAGCAACAATTTTATGAATTCCAAAAAAAGATTCAACAGAAAACAACCACTGTTCTAGCTGCAAAGCCACAGCCATCTCCTGTGGCTCCAAATATAAAAAAGGTGACACAAATTTTTGTTCTTCTTTTCTTTTTTTTTCAAAACATTTACATACAAATATACGTAAGACGTGTTGGAGACATTGTTTTAAAATGTTCATTACCCAGAAACCAAAGTCATTGAGATTTTATTGATCAGCAATCCCAATGATCTTCTTGAGAACTTCTTTACTAAATTTTGTGTTTGATTTCGATTTGCCCTCATTTATAGAGAGTTAAGGCTACCAAAATTACCTGTCATGAATAAATAATTCACCTCTTTAAATGATACTTTTCAAATGAATAAATAATTTAATATTATTTATGATTCAGAATATTCATTTTTTGTTTCTACAGAGTAGGGAGAGAGTATTCTATCCAATTGTGTATGGGGCAGACCCAACGGGGGCGCAAGATAGCAGTGATGCAATACAGAGTGTATTGGAGGATGCTTTACAAGTGCAAAATGGGATTGAATTGTTGCCTGGAATCAAAGATTTGGGTGGTGTTGTCATTGATTTGCAAGGTGGCAATTACTTGATCTCTAAACCCATAAGGTTCCCTTCTGGTATTGGCAATTTCCTGGTACCCCTCTCTCTCTCTCTCTCTCTCTCTCTCTCTGGGAGTCGCATGGCGCAAACGTTTTGCTTTTGTTTCAAACCTTTTTTAATTTTATTTTTGCACTTATTGATCTAAAGAGTTTTGGTGATCTGTTTGATTTTATTTTCGCAATCTGATTGTTGATAAAGTATAGGATAAATTACACTGAAACCTCTAAGGTTTGTCCGATTAAGTCTCAACCCATGACGTTATAAAAAATTACATTCTCACCCTTATAATTAATAGTCTCATTTCACAGATCCTTACTTATATTAAAAAAAAAAAACAACTATTAGTAAAAAAATAGAGGAAATTACATCGGAAAAAAAAAGTAAAGCAAAAAAAAGAAAAAAAGAAAGAAGTAAAGTAAAGCAAAGCAAAAAAAAAGAAAGTGTATAAATTCAATGTCTTTTTGATACTAACGTTAATTCTGTCTAAATAATTACAATGACAGGGAGGTCAGTATAATTTTTCAAACATCAGGAGTGATATGTATTAAATCCAAACCTCAACGGTGTAAGTGTAATTTACCAAAAAATATAAAACACTTTTATAAAACCAAATATAAAATAGATATTTTGAAATGTTTGAAAATTATTGCCGTTCTCAAATGGGTAAAATCATCTGAAAATAATAAGTTATTTTTTCAATTTTTTTCACCAAATTAAAAAAAAAATTTACAAAAAAAATTCTGAAAATCAAGACTGACTTTTAAAGTTTCTTTTTCACATCGCACATATGGGTTTTCGCCACGTGTCCATGCCAGCATGTGTCCTGCGTTTCATGCATGAGAATGAATGCATTAACCAAAGACAGTTCTTTAATTCACATCATTAATGTCTCTTTATTCTCAACCTTTAACACCTAATATTAAATTGAGCAATTTTGGAGACGGAAAGAAATTATTAAGTCCTCTTGTCGCATTACATGTCATACGTTACATGATATTTCATATCATTCATGACGCGATATACGATCATAAAATTGGTAGAACCTACCAACACAATACTTTGATACACACAATCTACGCCATGTAAAACCTGAAAACCTGAATAACTTTTGCTAGATACAAGGTTAATTATAAGGCTCATATTGTCCGACTTCTCTTAAAAATATATTATATGTGTCAGTTGATATTCTTGAACTACTACACCGCAACTAATACCGATTTGCAAGTGTTCTTCCATCTCTCTATTCATTTTCATTCTAAAATAAGCAATGTTGGCCGGGCTCTCTAGGTACAAGGAGGTAGTTTTAGAGCATCAGACACATTTCCTAGTGATAGACATCTTATTGAGTTATGGGCACCAAATTCTCAGCCACTGACGAACTCCGAAGGTTACTTCGATCAAAAAAGCCCGATCTCCTATGAGGACATCACCTTCCGCGACATCCTCTTCGACTCAAGCTATCGTGGTGGAGGAATTTTTGTGATTGATTCGGCTAGGATCCGCATACATGATTGCTTCTTCATCCACTTCACCTCCGAAGGAATACTAGTGCAGAAAGGACACGAGACCTTCATCTCAACCAGCTTCCTCGGACAACGCTCAACAGTCGGTGGTGATAAAGGGGAGAGAGATTTCTCGGGCACTGCCATTGATCTTGCTAGCAATGACAATGCAGTAACAGACGTTGTCATTTTCTCAGCGGCCACGGGAATCATCTTAAGGGGTCAGGCTAACTTGCTCACAGGGGTACATTGTTACAATAAGGCAACAGTTTTTGGTGGTGTCGGGATTCTAGTTAAATCTGCACAAAATAGAATACACAATTGTTACATGGATTATAATGCTATAGTGATTGAAGACCCATTCCAAGTTCAGGTTGCTAATGGGTTTTTCCTTGGAGATGGTAACATTGTGTTAAAGTCTATTAAAGGTAAAATCTCAGGGCTAAACATAATTAATAACATGTTTAGTGGGGAACCAAAAAATATGGTGCCAATCGTCAAGCTAGACGGGCAATTCACGAGCGTTGATCAAGTGGTGATCGATCACAACAATGTAGATGGAATGAGCCTTAAATCGACAGTTGGGAAATTGGCGGTGTCAGGAAATGGGACGAAGTGGGTGATCGATTTTTCATTTGTGTTAGTGTTTCCTAATAAGATTAATCATGTTCATTACTCATTCTACGCTTCAGGGGTTAATGTTGTAGGGTTTCCGTTACATGCAATCACCAATGTTTCGAGTAATGTGGTGGTGGTGGAGAGTGACAGGGCAGTGACTGGGGTGGTTTCTATGGCGGTTGATCAAAATAATATGGTTGGAGAGAGAAATTTTCTCATGTAAAGCATATAGAAAATGTACAATTTCATCAAATTTCATAGTGAAAGTGAAAAGAAAATGTATAATTCCATCAAATTTCATAGTGAAAGTAAATGTTTTAAGAAGAGAAAGCAAATGCTTTCAAGATTATACAAAATAGAATACACTTGAGTGTTGTTATACTCATACACTATAGAAATAATATTTAAATAGTATAGAAGAAGAATAGAGAGTTTCTTGGAGATATTTTATTTTATTATTTTTGAAAAAAGTGTAGAGCCAAAATAGAAAAAGTAATTTCTTAACTTAAATATATTAAAATTTAACTAGTTTTACAGAGATCTTCTAACAAACTTCCCCAGATCATCCTGTTTGGGGTAAAGCTAAAAAAAAACTGTTTTTTTTTTTGGCTAAAATAAGCCAAAAAGTCAAAAGCCCATTTGTTCTCAGCAAAAGCAAACAAATGTTGCAAATTCCCACATTCTACTCATCATGCACACCCCATTTGATGGGACTTAAGGCTTTGTTTGGTTTGGTTTGGTTTGGTTCTACTCATCATGCACACAATTCTTCTTGTAGGCACATTGGTTTTCCTTTTGGGGGCTATCACGTGTTTATGATTGTTAGTTTTACTACAAACACAAAAATTCAATGCCTTGTTCACACAAATGATTTCTTCTATTGTACAAAATACCTTATTAGTAATTCAGTATATTCATTTAACAAAAAATGGCTAGCAATTCAACAACTCATTTACTTCCAAGTAAACATTCAATGTTGTGCCCATCACATAGACAGAAAAATCATTTTTTGAAGGATCTTTCATATAAGATTGAATCAACAATGCACAAACACTAGGCTAAGCCTAACCTGTTGCAGGCTTTGCAAGCCAAACAGAAATCTGAAAAGTGATACTCCTACTCACTCCGTTGCCTCATCTTGATTCGCAATGTTCTGCTCTTGTGGTGGTCCGGTGGTTTTTGGGTATACACCAAACGCATTGCGCCCTGGCTTTGCAAGTTCCACGAAGATCACCCTGCCATCAAAATACTGATACAAGCAAAAGGGCATTATATTAGTTTTTAAAGTTTAAAAAAAAAAAATTAGACAAAAATCAAGAACAAGACAAGAATAGCTAGTAAAACCTTGTGATCCATGCTTTCTAGAGCTAGCAGGGCATCGTCTTGACTAGTGTACTGAATAAAAGCATACCCTTTTGACCTCTTCGCCTTTTCATCCATAACAAGCTTAACTGTCAGTGAAACTAGATAGAATTAGCAAACTTGAAGCATGTAATGGAACAAATAGGTAGACAGGACACTTTCTCTTTTTTTTTCTCAATGAACCAAGGAAAAAAATATATGAAATGTACCTTCGGCTATCTGGCCAAAATTTGAAAATTCCTTCCTTAAACAAGTCTCGGTGGTGGAATATGATAAATCTGTCATTCATGATGCAAGGTAAGAACTTATGTCCGGGCAACAATTGATGTCATCTTGAAGAGAAATAGAGAATTTGGGCATTCAACAGATGAGTGCATTGCATCTTTTGAAAGCATTTGAATATATGTACTACTACTCTTTTGCAAGTGTTATGCAAAACCAAACAAATACATTTTCACAATGTCCTCAGCTTTAATTTATAGGATAGAAAGATTACATACGTGTCTACAAGCTACTAGATTTCCCCTAATTCTACTAGAAAGAAGACTCAGAAATAGATAAGTTTGGCTCTTTGACCATTAAGACTTTTCTATACCCAATAAAATCACAAATAACCTATGAAGCACGGACACAGACACGGATACGGATACGGACACGGACACGGACACGGTACACGGCAATTTTCAAAAAATGGGGACACGGACACGGCGGGGGACACGGCGAATTTTATTTTATTTATTTTATATATTTTTATGTGTTACGTAGATTCATATTACATTCATCCTAAATTAGGCTGTTTGACAATTAAGACTTTTCTATACCTAATAAAATCACAAATAACAATCCAATAATACAGCTTGACTAAAAAAAATGAAAAAAATCCCTGGATGGATCCATACTTCTACAACCCAAATCTAGCAAAATTGAAAGTAACAAAATCACCCTTAACTACTAAACCAAATAAAGCCTAAATAAGCATGTCAAACAGTCATGAACTAATTAAAAACATGAAATGAACACTCATGTTGATCCCACACTTAATTACAGAAGTCCAAGTGCAGTCCATGTAAAATTGAAGCCTTGCCCCTTCTTCGAATATTATGAACTAGACATCCATGTCCTAATGCATTTAGCTAAGCTAATGGTACCACATTATGCATTACAATGCAACTTCTCAATCATGAACATCTAACATGGAAATATATCAATCATATATTGCAGGAAATTAATCTTGTGACGTCGATGTTAGATGAACGATAAAGTGAAAAAGAGAAAATATTGGCACCTAGCTGTTGAATCGACTGTCAGGTAACCACTTGGGTCCTTTGCCATGGGAATCCTAAGCGATTTGAAGATTTTAAAGTCTTTGTGAATGGAGTTAGATTTGAGTCCATCATTCTTTTGAATCTTTCTCCATTTTATTAAATACAAAACCATACCTTCTTAGGCATTCTCTCTCCTCATCTAATCCACGCAACCTAATGCAAATACACTAGGCAAAAAATAATAATAATAATCCACCCAACTACTCAATACTACATCCAAACGTATCAATCCAATTAATTCCGTTTGATTGCGACCAAAAATCCACGAGTATGTTCACGAAGTGCTTACTAAAGTAAAATTTCTAAACTTCATTGAAAAAAATAAAATCAGAATGAGCACTTATGGATAAAGGAAAGATCTTTTAACTTTTTATTCTACCTCATTATACAGGAAAATGATATGAAAGGCTTGAAATGCTCTATTCCAAAACATCTTAGGCAGTCATGCCTAGTCCATAATTCAACTTAATTGATTGGGGTTTTATTTATTTATTTTCTGTGAAAAGCAAAAACTATATTGAAGACATCCAATTTAGCCTAAACAATATTGAATTGACAAAATGACTCTTCTTCTTAACAGAACCCATTTCCTAAGTTTTAATTTTTCACATCAAGCAAACAGGTAGTGTTCACATAACTAAATTATAAACTGGAAAGATAATCAGAAACTCAATTATTCCAAGAAGAAAATATAAATCAACCCAGCTAAATAACAGAAACATATATATAGTTATGTGAAGCAGAAAAGAAAGATGAATACACATAAATCAACCCAGCTATATATATATATATATCAACATAAATTACATATATAAAGCAGAAAAGGAAGATGAAAACATACTTTTAACCATGATCTTGCTTGCGAGAGGGAAATCAAAGAGTGAGGAGGAGGCATGAAGCTTTAAAGATTTGGGTTTAGTTCGAAACTACATCGGTCCGACATGACCCCGTAAACTGTCTTCTACATCGGTCTGACACGACCACACAGTGTCTGCTACATCGGTCCGGCATGACCTCGTAAACTGTCCTGTCCGGCATGACCTCGTAAACTGTCCTTCTACACCGGTCCGACATGACCCCATAAAGTGTCTCCTACAACGGTCTGACACGACCATACCGTGTCTCCTATCCATTTTTTTTTATCAGTTTATTTTTCTATTTTGTTACTCTCTCCAAACTCAAGTTGGTTAGTAACTATCCTCCTTGAATTTGAGAGGGCTGTTAATATATTTTATGTTAGTACTTTAGGCTTTAGATTAGTGCATTTACTTTCGATTAGTGGATCCTCTTTTGGCATGATGATGTTTGTAATTTTCTCTCCAATATAACGGTGAGTGTACCTCTTTATTCATATAACATTCAATACATAAATCAATATACATAATTCATTCTCTCCGTATCTCTCTCTATCAATTTATCTTACAAACCAGATGAGCAGGATTCACCGAAGAGAATGACGACCCCTGACTTGGGTGTTCATTGACGACCACGACGACCACCGACCTGGTGTTCACCGACGACCGTCGCTGACCACCGTCCATCTCTGTTCGAAATCTCCATGGCGAATGTCCTCAAGTAAAATACTACGTAAGTTAGTTCTGTATTTATCTCCATGTTCCCCTTTATTTATCTCTGTGTCGCAGACGATTTTGACATTTGTTGATATATAGAACTCTATTGATTAGAATGATTCAACAGGTTTTCTGAACTCTTTTTTTGTTCCCCTTTTTTTTTTTTTTCTTTTTTTTTTTTTTTTTTTTTTTTTTTTTTTTGGATCTAAGATGCATTTGTGAGAGGCAATTCTGTGATGTCTGTAAATTTTTATTGTTTTTGGTTGTTCTGGATTGAGGCCCAGTCAAACATCTTCCATTGTAGTCATGCATGCCAATTGTTTGATGAAAGTCCCCATAGAGAAATTATCCTGATTTTATGTTATGAATTCAAGAGAAAAGACAACCATTGTTCCTTTAGGAAACTGATGGGCAAACCTTCATGATGTGGAGAACCGTAAAAAGTAGAAAGAAAAGGGAATTTTTGATTTTTTTGTATAGGTTATAGACTTTTTAGTAACTTTTTAGTTTTTAGGCTAAAACTATCGCATGCCAAACGAGGGCTAAGGCTTTTGTATCTGTGGTGAAATCTGAGCCGGTATTTGAAATGATTAGTGACGTGTCATGATCCTAGCATTGAGACTGTTTGCTCCAGTAACAGTTGAAATACAAACAAAATGGAGAGAAGCCAAACTCTACTTCCAGAAATTAGGGCTCAGTTTTATAGACGACGAAGTTTCTCTGGCAATTCCGTCAAATTGTTCATTCAATGAGCTTTTTGTATACAAAAAAAAGTATATTATATATGCTCTCTGTTTCTTCAATTTCTGAAATCAATTTATAGAAACTTGATTGAATAACACCACTGTATATTGATTTCTAGAACTGGCATGCTTGTTTGGAAGAAGCTCTACTTCCAGAAATTAGGGCTCAGTTTTATAGACGACGAAGTTTCTCTGGCAATTCCGTCAAATTGTTCATTCAATGAGCTTTTTGTATACAAAAAAAAAAAAAAGTATATTATATATGCTCTCTGTTTCTTCAATTTCTGAAATCAATTTATAGAAACTTGATTGAACAACACCACTGTATATTGATTTCTAGAACTGGCATGCTTGTTTGGAAGAAGACACTCACAAATTTTATTAATTTGGTTGATTTTGTATGGTGTTGGTTGATTCAAAGTACTAGTGTGGGTTTTGCTGGTTGATTAGGAAGTGAGGATGGGTAGGTGAAAACCCCTTTCTTTAATTTTGAATAATGAGTAAGTTTCTGGTGATTGTAATTGTTGTGGTTTTAGTTTGAATGATTTGGAACTAAAGCTTTTATTTGATTTTGTATACTGGCTGCATTATAGCCAATGGATTAGTATTCAAACTTTTATTTGATTTTATGACTTCTTTTTTTAAGTTAGAAGACCTACCTGTGGTTTTTTAGTTTATGTGATACTTTTATTTGCTTCATTTCCTTTCCTTTTCTCCTTTTTTAATTTTTAATTTTTTTTTATTTTTAATTGGAAAATTATATTGTTATCTTTGCATTGTTCTTGACTTTGATATTGATATTGATTTTGAATATGGCTTTTGATTGTTAAAGAGTGGTTTTTGTTTTTTTTTGGTCTTATACATATACATATACATTTGAGTTCTTTGGCTAACCTCTAACCCCCTATATATTTATGTGCTTCTCTTAGCAAATTTGATGTTGTCTTACAATTTCTATGTAAACTTCTTCTGACCCTCAATTTCTTTCCATATGTTCTTTTACACCTACCTGTGTCTTCTTCTTCTTCTTCTTCTTTTTTCCCCCAAAATCATATTCCACCCAAGTGCGCATACACATGATGTCAACCAAACTCCAATTCAAACAACATGTGCAAGGTATTCCAAGTTTTTTTATTTTTTTTTATTTTTTATAATGAAGCTTGGTCTATATGTTACATCTTCATAATACCTTTCTGTGATTTCTTTCAAATAATTTGTTTCAAAATATATTTTTGAAATATGGAGAAAATTATGTTGCCATTTCAATTAATTCTTAGTCCTGAATGACAGATACACCATGCATTGTGGACGTGTTGCATGAAGGGTAGCATGGCTTATGCTTGAAAGGCATAACTAATATAGATTGACCATGTGAAGTGAAGTGAAGTGTGTGTACTCCAATTGATTTAGTTTTATTTTTTTTTCTTTCGTCTTTATTTGTTACATCTTCATAATACCTTTTTGTGATTTTCTCAAATAAATCTATTTTGTGTTAATGAATTGTTGTACATATATTAGGGTAGACAAGAATATTGTGTTATAAACCAAATCCATTATTTGTACCCAATGTATGCTTAGATTTTATTAGGGAATGTAGTAGGTTTTTAGATAGAGAAATGGCAATGGAAGGGAGACTCACGTGTCTATTGTATCTCCCATCATTGTATCAAACCAAACCATAACAAATATTTTATGACGTAGCAAACACTCCTTCCAACCATCAAAGTCTAGCAGAAATATTACATAGAGAGAGGGACTTATAACAATCTGTGAATGAATTGAGTATTCATTTTTTACTATGTCTCTCAATGGTATTTTGATCAGACTGTGATGAGTTTGTTTGTTTTCTCTCATATGAGGTTTGCATAGTAATTTTCAGATGAAGTTGTATAACAAGTATATTGGTCTCACATAATTAGATTTCTTCAGTCTAGGTAACACATCCATAAAGAATAAAATTAGTATTTTGTTTGCCCAAATAGTTATAGAAATTTTTTTTACTATTTTTGTTTTGTTTTGTTTTTTTATTTATTTCTCTTTTCCCCTTGATTATTATTATTATTATTTTTTTTAAAAAAAATTACTTTGGTTAGTTATGCAATAAAATAGTGGCACCCTGGTTGGTAGTTTTGTGGATGTGTTGTCCTCATTTTGAGTGGAATTTTTTTATTAGATAATTTTATATGACGGTGAGTTTTGAGTGTAAGATGATGATTTTGGGATGCACTCCATTTTAGTTGAGGTCATATCGTGTTTGATAGTGCCTTTAGACACGGGTTATTCGCTAGTAAATCTATATTGTAAATAGTGGCTCACAAAAAAAAAAATTAAAATGATTTATGATAGTTAGATATTAACTCTTAACTAGTATTAGTGTATAGTTTCGCTTTTTTATGTGCTTTGGCTCTTTAAATCTTGCAGGTTCATTCAAATAAAAGAGGGAGATGGGAGATCAAGTGAGCTTGTTTGGCTTAACCTTAGTCTCACCATTGTTGCCCTCCACAGCCCCATTAAATTCCATAATGAAGGAGATGCTTAAGTGTTGTGGCAGTTAAAGGAATATGGTGAGTCCTGATTGGTGACAACTAAGTGACCGAACCATTTGCATCTTGAATAACCGTGCCCTTTTGAACCCTATAACTGCTAACCAAAACCCTAGACATTCTAGAAACCAAAGGAACGAACAATGTTTCTCAATCAACGTAATCCTATAAATCTCAGAAATTTACTGTTCTCATCTTCTAAATTATCTATTTTTACCTTCCTATACCAACAACAACCTGCTTATATATACATCCAGAAGTGCAACTATGTAGATGTGTACATGAAATGGAAGAAAGACTCGTATTATGACTCAATCGAGTCTATCTACAAGTCCATTGAACTCAAACCCTTAATTGCTGTCAAGAATTGCATCGCTGCTGCACCCGATGGATGCATCCCCATCTCCGCTGTATCAAAGAGAGGTAAAGAATTGGGGGTACCTATTAAGGTTGCTAGGTTCCTGAGGCAATACCCATCTGTTTTTGAGGAGTTTGCTGGCCCCGAGTACGATCTTCCATGGTTTAGGCTGACCCCAGAAGCTGTTAAGCTTGATAGAGAGGAGAGTGAGGTTTATTGGGACTGTAAGGTTGATCTTGAACAGAGGTTGAAGAAGTTGGTATTGATGAGTGGTGAGAAGAGGTTGCCATTGAAGATAATTCAGGGGGTGCAATGGAATTTGGGCTTGCCAGATGATTTTTTGCGATACCCGGAAAGGAATCTTGATGGGCGTTTCAGAATTGTGGAGATGGAAGGTGGGTTGAAGGGACTGGCTGTTGAGAGTGATGAAAGGCTTTTGTCAGTAATGCAGAAGAATGCGATAAAAAGAAGTGGGTATGGTGGGGGGCCAATGGAGGCAATTGCATTTCCACTATTTCCATCAAAGCATTTGAGGTTGAAGAAGAAGATTTCAAATTGGTTAGATGAGTTTCAGAAGCTTCCATATGTCTCACCGTATGAGGATTATTCAGGTTTGAATACAGATGGTGATGTTGCGGAGAAACGGGTTGTGGGCATGCTTCATGAGTTGCTTAGCCTCTTTGTTGAGCATGCTGCTGAGAGGAAGAAGATTATTTGCCTCCGCAAGTACCTCGGATTGCCACAAAAAGTCCACAAGGCATTTGAACGGCATCCCTACATGTTTTACTTATCTCTAAGGAACAAGACCTGCACAGCGATATTAAAAGAAGCTTATTGTGAAAATTCAGCTATAGAGGCTCATCCTCTGTCAAGAGTACGGAAAAAGTACATTAATCTAATGAAGGAATCGGCAGTAATTTTGAAAAATAGGAGAGTGAATAACAGTTCTGTTGATCATCAAATTGTGCGTCCAAAGCTTGACTTGGATTATGTAGAGGCTTCTTTGTAACCAAGCACCATACAACTTAAAAAACAGGTACCAGACTGACCGAGTCTTTCTCTTTCTTCCTATATATTCAATTGATCTCGATTCACAAGTATTTCTTATAATTCTTTTATCATAGTAAAAATCACAGTAATCATGAGCGTAGTATTTGTTTTATTATTCGGTTGTGTTTCATATTTTGCTGATATTGACACATAAATTTTAGCTCTAGTATCTTCATTATTGATATGAAATGGTTTTTTTTCTCTTGATAAGTGGATTTCGGGGTCAATTTACAAGTATTTTGACTAATTCAATTTACGCCTAAAATGGTATGCCTAAGCCTGCAAGCCCGTAGGCTTAGCTTGACAAGCTTTTTTTAGTAGGCCATGTTTAGACTAAAAATTCAAGACCAGGCCGAACCTTATTGTTTAGGGGAACTTGATGTGATTTATATTTAGTAAAATGTTTTTTATTTTATTTTTATTATTATTATTTTTAGATTTAGTAAAATTGTTAAATGTTTTTTAGAAATATTTTATTTCTTAATTGTATCAAAATCTTTTATAAAAGAAATACTAAAAAAATTAATTAAAAGATACAAAAATACAAAATACTAATAAAAAACTTAAAAATTATATTAAAAATTTAAAATCAAACATAATGATTAAGCTTGACTGACCACTGCGTTGGTCAAATGCGAATATTAAATGTGATGACAATATTTCTAAATTTGACAACACAAATCCCGCTGACAATATTTATAAATTAATTTCACATTACTTTAACATTTGCATGTGACCATGTCATTACATGATCTGTCATGATTGATATATTTTTATCAGAAATGTTTGGTAACATAAAATTTTGCCTAAAAGATTCGTCGAACAGTAAAGATTTGAGAATATAGGATAAATTACACTGACACCCCCTGAGGTTTAAGTTTATTACAGTCATTCCCTTACATTTAGAAAATTACACTAATCCCCTTGACAGTCTAATTCTTTAACGCTGTTAATATTTACGATAAAATAACATGTTTATCCTTAACTTTTATACATATAAAATATTAAAATAATAGAGATATTTTATTTGTCATCTCAGCCCATCTTTTTTCACCTACCACAAGCCTTATTTGGAGGGAAAGACTTAGAAGCCTCCAGAGAAAAGAGAAAAGAGAAAAGAGAAAAGAGTGTAGAGAGGAGATAAAAAGAGAAGAGTGTAGAGGAAAGACTCAAGACTCATTGAAGACAAAGATCAAGGTATTCTCTGTGAAGGGGTTTCTCCATGAACGATCAGTGTAAGTAATTTCTTATTTTTTGTAGATGAGTTTGAGGTTTGGTGGAAGTAAAAAATAGGTTTTGTACTATGTTTTTTTGTACAAATTGAAATTTAGTTTGTATGATTTCGTTTTTCTCCATAAATTTTTGATTAAGGTTTAAACATTGTTACCCATGTTCAAAACATGTTGAGTTTTTGTATTTATATATGGTGTTTTTGTGATTTGAACTAAGACGTTGAAGACAAGCAAATACAAAAACTTGATTTCATAGTCTGTTTGGTTTTGTTACCTTTTAGTGTTGTTTTTTTTTTTTTTTTAGGACAGAACATTCTTTGGACATTGTTAATGAACATTGTTTTTTTTTTTAATGTTGAAGACAGACAAACAAACTGTGATTTGAACATTGTTACCTTTTAGTATTGTTGTTGTTTTTTTTTTTTCCCTGGAAACTTCATTTTGCACAAACCTTATCCATATACTTGTAATGGTGTTTATGTGTTATTCGTAGGATGGTCATTTGAGTTCTAAACTTATTTATTAATTGTTCGTTTTTTTTTTGGAGGGGGGGGTTAAATCACCAATTTTTTTACTTGGGTTTAATTGTGCTTTATGCATGAAGTTTGTAATTTCATTAATGTTGTGACAAAAATACTTGATTTCATAGTCTGTTTGGTTTTGTTCCAAAATCAGTTTTCTATTTTTTTTTAATTAAAATTAATTCGACAAAAATAAATACGAAAAAGATATATATATTTAAATTTTGAGACTTTTTTTTTTCTTTCAAAAATGTAAAACTATATGAAATTGATGAGTATTTTTTATTTGTTATTTTATTTCAATAAATTAGTTTTTAGTTTTTTTATCAAAAAATTCATAAACAGATTATGAAAATCAAACCAAACATATTAATGTTGAGGAAACTGATTTTGTACAATATTGGGGGATAAACTTTTTTTTTTTTTTAAATGGATATTGGGGATAAACTGAGTTCTCATTTTTGTAGACATGATTTGTCTATTGTTTACTTATTATATCAGGAAATGGCTACTGAAATGTGGCATGATATAGTGGTTCATTATAAAGGATCTGTTAATCACATTCTAAATATAGACCCAGACAAGTACAACCATATGGATTTAATTGCGGATAGTTGTGAAATTGCATTAAGTAATGTCCCTACAAGTCATGCGATTGCATTGGATTTATATGGTGTGGTACCAAGGTCAAAAGTTAGGATTGAACTCAAATGTGACCAGGATTTCCTTAGAATGTTTGGATTATATGTAGGAATTAAAGAAATTCCTATTTATTTTGACGTTGCACACAGTTCAACCCCTATGGGCTTCGAGGAGACCCATGAGACTGATATGCATTTGCAGCATGGAAGCAATAATAGGTCAGCTATGGGTTTTCGATCTAGGCCTAGTATGGTTAATGATTTGTTCAGGGATTTGGATGATTATAGTGATGTGGATTGGAATGAACTGGGTGATGATAACAATATTGACTGTGAAGATGGTGAAGAAGATGAAGCTTATATGGTTTCTGATTCAAATGAAGAAGATGAAGAATGGAATGGTGAAGAAGTTGAAGAAGAAATACATGAGGATGATGGGAACCGTTCTAATCTTGGTGGATTGTCAGATTATGAATCAAATGATGATGAAGGGAACTATTCTAGTGATGAACAGGATGTACAAGCTATAAATGCTGATAGGTTTATAAAGGGAAATATGTTTGAGATTAAAGAAGGGAAAACAATTACATTAGAGAAATGAATGATGTTTGAAGATATCTCCCACTTTAGGACTGTTTTGAGGGAATATGCCATTGAGAGAGGGTTCACATTGGTGAGATTGAAGAATGATAGAGTTAGAGTAACAGCTCATTGTGGTTCTAGGGGATGCAATTGGAGAATCCATGCCTCACTCCTTCCTGATGGATTAACTTTCAAAATTAAGTCATTCGGGCCTGACCATACTTGTGTGAGAGTAGAGAGGAATCCTGAAGCAACATCAACATGGATAGCAGAAAAATTCATAAGAATCCTTAAGGGTAATCCAGGGATGACTTTTGAAGCTATGCACAATGAATTGACTGAAAAGTATGGTGTAGAAGCCTCATGAATGCAACTTTATAGAGGGAAGAGGAAGGCATTGGAAGCAATTGAGGGTAATCATGTTGCATCATATAGTAAGTTGTCGAAGTATGCAAATGAAATAATGAAGACTAACCCAGGAAGTTTGGTTAAAATTGAAAGGGACAGAGTTGGTCCTAAATTAGATGTAGTTATGTTCAAGAGGATATTCATATCACTTGCAGCAATGCAGAAAGGGTTCAAAGATGGTTGTAGACCTTTTATAGGTGTGGATGGGTGTCATTTGAAAGGTCCTTATGGTGGAGTCTTGCTAGCTGTTGTGGCCTTGGATGGGGATAATGGTCTATTTCTTTTAGCATATGCTGTAGTAGAGTGTGAATGCAAGGAGAGTTGGAGATTCTTCTTGTACCATCTACGCACCATTATTGATGATGGTCCTCAAAGCAAGCCATGGATTATAATGTCAGATGGCCAAAAGGTAAATTTATGCACTGTGAAATGAAATAATTTAGTTTGTACTTTGTCTAATGAATTTATGCATTTATAATATAACCTTTTGTTCACTTTTATTTTGTTTTAGAGCATTGAACCTGCCTTGAAGGAAGTCATGCCTGAAGCAACTCACAGGAGGTGTTGTAGACACCTGTTCAATAATTTTAAATCAAAATTTCCTTGTTTGAAGCTTAGGGGATCATTTTGGGCTGCAGCTAGAGCATATACTCAGAAGGATTATAACACAGCTATGAGGCAAATTGAAGAGGTGTCAAGACCAGCCTATAAATGGTTAAATGACTTGAAACCAGAAGTTTGGGCTAGACACACCTTTGATCCTAGAGTGAAAAGTGACCATATCACTAGCAACATGGTTGAATCATTTAACAATTGGATTAGGAATATAAGAGGGAAACCTGTCATTATAATATTGGAAAGTATTAGGACCAAATTAATGGGAAAATTGCATAAAAGATTTGAAAAAGCTGCTACATGGGAAAATTTGGTGACCCCTACCATTAGGAAGAAGTTAGATGAGCTTGTCTTCAAATCAAGGATGTGCAAGATCACATTTGCTGGTGGAGATGAATATCAAGTGATGGAAGGTGTTACTGTACACATTGTAAACCTCCTAAGTAGGTCCTGTTGTTGTAGAGTTTGGGACATTAGTGGAGTCCCTTGCAAGCATGCAGCTGCTTGTATTTCTCATAGGAGAATGAACATTGAAACATTTTGTGATCAAGCTTATCAGAGGCATAAGTTCTTAGGTGCATATGGGGATATTATTCATCCCATACATGATGAGAGTATGTGGGATGAAGTTCCAGAAGAAGCTTTGAAGCCTCCAATTCTTAAAAGACTGCCTGGTAGGCCTCCAAATAGTAGGAGAAGGGAAGTTGGTGAAGCTACCCCTGGAGCTAGTGATTCTAGAAGGTCATGCACTATTAAATGTACCATATGCAAAGAAATTGGGCACAACAAAAGGACTTGTCAAAGGGCTCCTGTGAAGAGAAAGGGTAAATCTAGCTCAATTAGTGGTTCAAGTGTTTCTACAGCAAGGCAAACAAGTGGGGTTGCAATGAGCCAAGAAAGTAGAAAAGGTTCAAGCCTAGGAAGTGGAATTTCTATTAGAGAGAGTAATGCAGGTGGCAATTGCACAAGTAATAGTAGAGGTTCAGGTCATGGAATTCCAACTGGAAGAGGTGCAAGTGGTAGAGGTTCTACTTCAACAGTGGTAGGGGGACAACATGTAAGTATCACATACTTGACTATTGAATGCATTGAAACATTACTTATTTAGTGTCATTATATTTTTATTTGATGTGATATTGTAGGATGAAGGGCAGCCTGGAGTGCAGTCCAGTAAATGGAGTATGTCTTGAGCATGGTATTTGGCTCATGTATTGCTCATTTAATAATTAATTATAAACTTGTTACTCTATTTGTTATTGTATTCTTGTTACAGAACTAATTTTTGTTTATTCTTGTTATTTGTATCAGATGGTTGGAAATTATGCAGCATGCCATATGAGATGGAACAAGAAATGTAATGTTTCAAGACAAATTATATGATATATTTTTGTGTAGGTAATGTGGTATATTTTTGTAAATGGGGACAATATAATATATTTTTGTATATATTCTTGTAAAGGGGAACATGATATATTTCACTAAATTAGGAAGATGTCCCCTTACATGTTTTGTGAAGGGGACATGACTATGTATGCTCATTTATTTTTTGGCCATATGAGCTGAGAGGGTAATTTGTAAACAAATTGGGCCGAGCTAGGAAAAGTCTTCTTTGGAAGTTGGGCCGCGCGTTAGGCCACGCAATAGGCCGAGATAAGGGCTGGTATAGCTCTATCTTAGGCCAAGAAGACATCTCATATTTCGGATTTAGGCTGAACTATGGGCCGAGGTGTTTGGGCTTCGCAAGTTGGACCTCGTCCTTGTTAGTTCGGTCGGAGACTGCTGCAGTTACCTCGGTCTAAACAGACAAAACCGAGGTAACATCAATAGCGAGGGCCGAGCTGTGTATAGCTCGGTAGGGTGGCATTCGATAGATCGGTTTTCGATCACACAGTCCGAATGGTAAGGGACCGAGATAAGGCAGTTCGGTCAGAAATGTATAACCGAGGTAAAGGGTTCAGCCATCTCACTTGGCTTGCAGTGATGAGACTCCTAGTAGAACTCTACTAAGGAGAGTAGAGTCCTACTAGGATTGTGCAAAACCATCTCACTTGGTTAGTAGTGAGTAAGATGTGTGATTCCTAAGAGGACTCTCATAGGGAGAGTTGAAATCCTACTAGGATTGTGCCAAAGTAAAGTCTATAAAAGCTCATGACCAGACTTATGGACAGGTATCCCAATTCTTACTCTAGAATACACAGAGCTTATTGTCTATTGTCTAGTTGCTGACTTAGGCATCGGAGGGGTTTCCGGCACACACCCGCCGGTTAGTTCACGTTTGTGTTTTCAGGTGGCAAAGCAAATTTGTTTGGAGGAGTGTAAACTTGATCAATAGGATCATACGAGAAGAATTATTTCGTGCTCGTACAATTGGCGCCGTCTGTGGGAATTTCACAAAGAGCAAAACCTCTTGATCAAGTTTTCCTCTCTAATTGAAAACAATAGCGCACAATGAAGACTTGCCACAATCTGCTATTGATGGGCAAACACCGGAAGGGGGTGAGAGGTGTGAAGGTTTACTTTCTATCCCACCCATGGCGAAATTGGATCCCCAGCGAAGGAATCCGCGGAGAGAAGCAAGAGAAAGACAGGGCTCAAGTCCACACCGCTCTCAAAGCCCTGATAGACAAAGGCGGAAGATAGATCCTCAGGTTCTCGAAGATCGCGTAAGGGAGCAAGACAAAGTAATAAGAAGAATGGCAATTGACATAGAGTCTATGAAGAGCCAGATAAAAGGCAAATGGAAGAAAAAAAGAGTCGGAGACAGAGGAGCAGGATTCGAAGCAGAGAAAGTCGAAGAAGATGAAGACAGAGAAGGAATATTCGAAAAAAAAAGAAGAGCAGTGAAGAAGAAAGACGAGTTAAAAGACGAACTTCTCAAGATGATGATGATGGTTCTGAGTCGGAAGAAGAACAATTGCGTGACCAAAGAGAGTGATGCAGCAGCAACGATGAAGCTAGCTGAGCCAAAATTAACATAGAGGGAGGAAGAAGAAGCTGTTCAGAGATCTAATGCTTTGGAGGAATATGGCATTGGAGCTATAAGGAAAGTTTCAAGGCAAGAGTATTTGAAGAAACTGAAAGAGCTCAGAGATTATATAGAAGAGGAGCAGTATCTATTTGATGGTGTAAAATTGACTGAAGCAAAATATCGTGAACTGAGTTGAGGGATTCAATGACAATGACGCTGCCCCTTACTATGGAAGCCCTGATGGAGAGAGTGCACCAACACATCAAGGTAAAAGAAGATGGGGCGCGCACCAAGGCAGAGTCTGGCACAACAAGGATGTCGGACAAAACACCTTCGGCAAAAGATAACACGGTTAACAAGTAGGACCGACCGCGCAAAAATCTTTGCCCAACTAGGGGCAAAGTGGGTTGGGAGGTTTGACCAACTCTTTCTGAAAAGTTTTTGCCCGATTGGGGGGCAACAGAAGAAGTTGGCTGGAATAAACCAACACCCCTCCTAAGCCCAGGATAAGGATCCAGACTGCAAGACGTTTGGTCGGAATAACCAAATACTTTACTCTAGGTTGGCAGGAATAACCAACTTAGAGGTTGGCTAGAAAAACAAACACCCCTCCTAAGCTCAGGATAAGGATCTAGGCTGCAGGACGTTTGGTTGGAATAACCAAACACTTTACTCTAGATTGGCAAGAATAACCAACTTAGAGGTTGGCCGGAAAGACCAACACTTATTATTCTTCAGCCGAGATAAGGATCTAGGCTAAAGAGGTTGGTAGGTTTGACCAACAAGTCTTTGCCCGACTAGGGGGCAATCAAGAAGTTTGGCAAAAATGGCCAAGCATTTAGCTCTTCTTCAAGCCGAGATAAGGATCCGCGCTAAAGAAGGTTGGCAAGAATAAACAACATTTAGCTCTCCTAAGCCGAGATAAGGATCTGGGCTGCAGGAAGTTGGCAGGTATGACCAACAAATTTTTTTGAACTCTTTGACTGGGAGGATGGTTACCTCGGCCAAAGCAGGTTGGCAGGTATGACCAACAACATTTTTGGAACTCTTTGGCCGGGATGATGGTTACTTCGGCCAAAGCAGGTTGTCAGGTATGATCAACAAAATTTTTAGAACTCTTTGGCCGGGATGATGGTTACCTCGGTCAAAGCAGGTTGGCAGGTATGACCAACAAAATTTTTGAAACTCTTTGGCCGGGATGATGGTTACCTCGGCCAAAGCAGGTTGGCAGGTTTGACCAATAAATTTTTGAACTCTTTGGCCAGGATGATGGTTACCTCAGCCAAAGTAAGTTGGCAGGTTTGACCAACAAATTTTTGAATTCTTGGACCGAGATGGTTATCTCGGCCAAAACAGGTTGGCAGGGTTAGTATAAACCGAGTTAGTCTACTCAGCGAGACACAGAAGAACGACTGGCCATACGATTGCAATTCGAAGGATATATACGTTGAAGGCAAAAAAGCAGGGCTATTCAAATTTTTGGCATGACGGTGGTAATAAGAGAACGAGGACATTGGGGGCACGCCATGTATCTTGGGAATGACGTCGTACCAGATTAGTGGAAGAACATGTTGAGCAACTGACAAAGCTTATTGGGGGCCGAGCAAACTTTTTAGCTCGGCAGAGTAGGGCATTCTTAGCTCGACTGGAGGAAAAATAATCCCAATCATGCTACGCAGATGGAATTAAGGGGCAATTGAGAGGGTAATTTGTAAACAAATTGGGCCGAGCTAGGAAAAGTCTTCTTTGGAAGTTGGGCCGCGCAATGGGCCGAGATGAGGGCTGGTATAGCTCTGTCTTAGGCCAAGAAGACATCTCATATTTTGGATTTAGGCTGAACTATGGGCCGAGGCGTTTGGGCTTCGCAAGTTGGACCTCGTCCTTGTTAGTTCAGTCGGAGATTGCTGCAGTTACCTCGGTCTAAACAGACAAAATCGAGGTAACATCAATAGCGAGGGCCGAGCTGTGTATAGCACGGTAGGGTGGCATTCGATAGATCGGCTTTCGATCACATAGTCCGAATGGCAAGGGACCGAGATAAGGCAGTTCAGTCAGAAATGTATAACCGAGGTAAAGGGTTCAGCCATCTCACTTGGCTTGCAGTGATGAGACTCCTAGTAGAACTCTGCTAAGGAGAGTGGAGTCCTACTAGGATTGTGCAAAATCATCTCACTTGGTTAGTAGTGAGTAAGGTGTGTGATTCCTAGGAGGACTCTCATAGGGAGAGTTGGAATCCTACTAGGATTGTGCCAAAGTAAAGTCTATAAAAGCTCATGACCAGACCTATGGACAGGTATCCCAATTCTTACTCTAGAATACACAGAGCTTATTGTCTATTGTCTAGTTGCTGACTTAGGCATCGGAGGGATTTTCGGCACACACCCGCCGGTTAGCTCACGTTTGTGTTTTCAGGTGGCAAAGCAAAGTTGTTTGGAGGAGTGCAAACTTGATCAACAGGATCATACGAGAAGAATTATTTCGTGCTTGTACATGAGCATTAACTGTTATTAGCACTTTGGGTAATGCACTTTGTGAAAATAGAAGATGAAGATATTGAACTCAAGACTCTCCTCGTCTTTTTATTTATTTATTTATTTTTCAGTTCCTCTGTTTTTCTCATTGAGTTTGATTGAGATTCATTTACCTTTTATTAGCAGCTTCCAACTTACAGGTCTCATAGAGGGTAATTTAGTCAATTAAACTTGTTTGGGCTGATGTCATCAAGATTCTTTTGATGGCCTTAACGACCATATGACGGCAGGGGTGTTTCTGTAACGCAATTGTTAACCTCAAGGGTGGGGATGTAACTTCCCGAATGTGAGGGGGGTATCTGTATTAAACATAAACCTGAGGGGGTGTCTGTGTAATTTACCCGAGAATAAAATTTAAAATTTCGAGTTTGAATCATTCTAAAGAGTCACTAGAGGTTTGCTTGATTGTTAACTTCAGAATCTTGAGATTAGTTGAGGTGTGTACAAGTTGATCTGGATATCTAGTTATAAAAATTTAAAAATTAAAAAAAAAACTTCAATGATTGTTGTCCTTAAATACTTTTTTTATTATTATTATTTTTTATTTTTAAATTTATAGTACTGTTAATTTTTTATTTTGTAACAAAATTCGCATGACAATTAAATCTTTGCCTACAATCTAATACACTTCTCATATTTCTAGTTTGCATAAAGTATATCCAAGTTATTGAAGAACAAAATCCACGTAAAAAAAAAAAAAAAAAAAAAAAAAAAAAAAAAAAAAAAAAAAACAACAACAACAACAACAACAACAAGAGACCAAACTCATAAATGGAGCCTAACAAGTAACTGCAAACCAAAACAATTATAGTCGTAATTTTTGAAAATTTAAAGTTTATTTTTAATTTTCATCCTGTAATTTGCCAAGAAACCAAATCATTGAGTTGGCATGTGTGTATCACGAGGAAGAGTGCAAATTTATTACATTTTTTTGTTTTTCAAAATTCATGTTTGGATGTAATTTGGTGGTGCACGAGTCTATGTTCATTTGCTGCTGACAAATATTGTTCTACTGATTTGTGATGGTGATCGCTGTTAATGTAAATT